TTATCAGTAACAAATTCCATACAAATTACTTGCTGTGTGGGTCAACTGCAAAGAGGGATCTAATGTTGAGGGAGGGGTTTATGTTGCCACCTGCTGGAGAGTCTATTGATGCTGGCTGCTGTGGGATCTGTTGTTGCTGCTGGGGGTCTATTGTGGCTGGGATGGTAATTTGCTGCAGTGGTCCACTGTTGCTGGGAGGGGGGGAGTTCTATTGTTGGCCGTGGGAGATCTATTTTACTGCTTTTCTTGTTATCAGTAACAAATTCCATACAAATTACTTGCTGTGGGGGTCATCTGCTAAGAGGGATCTAATGTTGCGGGAGGGGATTATGTTGCTGCCTGCTGGAGAGTCTATTCATGCTGGCTGCTGGGAGATCTGTTGCTGCTGCTGTGGGTCTCGTGTGGCCGGGATGGTAATTTGCTGCAGTGGTCCATTGTTGCTGGAGGGAGGGGGGGGGGTTCTATTGTTGGCGGTGTGGGATCTATTTTACTGCCTTTCTTGTTATCAGTAACAAATTCCATACACATTACTTTCTGTGGGGGTTAGCTACTAAAAGGGATCTAATGATGAGGGAGGGGTTTATGTTGCCACCTGCTGGAGAGTCTATTGATGCTGGCTGCTGGGGGTCTGTTGTTGCTGCTGGGGGGGTCTATTGTGGCTGGGATGGTAATTTGCTGCAGTGGTCCACTGTTGCTGGGGGGGGGGGGTTCTATTGTTGGCCAGTTGAGATCTATTTTACTGCTTTTCTTGTTATCAGTAACAAATTCCATACACATTACTTGCTGTGGGGGTCAACTGCTAAGAGGGATCTAATGTTGAGAGAGGGGTTTATGTTGCCACCTGTTGGAAAGTCTATTGATGCTGGCTGCTGGGAGATCTGTTGAGGCTGCTGGGGTCTATTGTGGCTGGGATAGCAATTTGCTGAAGTGGTCCACTGTTGCTGGAGGGGGGTGGGTTATATTGTTGGCTGTGTGGGATCTATTTTACTGATTTTCTTGTTATCAGTAACAAATTCCATACGCATTACTTGCTGTGGGAGTCAACTGTTAAGAGGGAACTAATGTTGAGGGAGGGGATTATGTTGCCGCCTGCTGGAGAGTCTATTGATGTTGGCTGCTGGGAGATCTATTGTTGCTGCTGGGGGGGTCTATTGTTGTTAGGAATGCTGTTGGCTGTGGAGGATCTGTTTTACTGCTTTTCTTGTTATCTGTGACACAATTCCATACAAATTACTCAGCACCACAAAAGGATACTTGGCTCTGTATTCTCTATAAGGGGCAGTACTGGAAGGTGGATAGGGGTAGAGACAAGAAGTGACTTAAATGGAGCACATCCTGCACCTATACATTCCTGGTACTATATATTCTATATACATGGGCAGCCTATTAAAAAATTAACATTTTACATCAAATCAGTGTTCATATAGCTATTCAAGTTTTTTTTTTTTTTTTTTTCTTGTTGTAGCACTGTGGTCCTTGGTTCAAATCCCATCCAGGACACTAGTTACATGGCGTTGCATGTTCTCCCTATGCTTGCATGGTTTTCCTTCTGGCATTTTGCTTTGTTCACACACTCCATAGATACTGTATGCAGGTAGGGTAATTGGCCCTGGTATGCAGGTAGGGTCCTATCTAAATTGGCCCTGGTATGTGTGTAAGATAGGGATCTTAGATTGTAAGCTCCTTAAAGACAAGGACTTATATGAATGTACAGTATGTGAAGCACTGTGTAAATTGTGGGAGGTATATAAATCCTGAAATAAATACATTATAATCAAGAACACCTGCTGTGAATTTACTATTGTTTACTGAAACTGATAATGCTAGTTTCCTGGCCATCATGCTGAGCCGTCAGTTTCAATACTTTCTGAGTTATTTGCCTGGAAAAGGTACTCGGATAAGGATTCCTAACTCCAACTTTCCTAGTCTGCGTACTTGGTTTTTGGTCAGCTACTCAGAAAGTACTGAAGCCAGTAACTGGCTCTACATAAAAGCCACAAAACCAGCATTTTCAGATTTATTTCAATTTACACAATAAAGCCAAGGGTCTTCCTTTGCAACATGGGAAATGTAATAGAAAATCAGATTTAATAAGAAACAACCTAGAATTTCCAGACATTTACCCTTTTAGGGCCAATTCAAGCCTATGTGCGTGTTGCAGCGACACCTTTATTGCAATGGCCATCATTTTAATTGGCACCCCAATGCACTAGAAGCAGCAGACACATACATCATACAGTACCATGTGTTGTGATATGCTGCATCAGCAAAAATGCTGCAGGCCCACACTGCATTGGACTGGTATGAAGGGGCCCTCAGGATTTGTTTTATTGGAGGTCCTTATCAACAGTGATTCACTCATCTTTGGTAGGAGCAGGTAGGGAAAGGTTACATCTTAGGATGACATTATTCAATTTTATATTGCCCCTCCCTTTTAGATTGCAAGCTCCTAGGAGGAACCTGCTAACCTCCAAGATCCTAGGAGGGCCCTGCTAAGCTCCTAGGAGGGCCCTGCTAACCTCCAAGGTGCTAGGAGGGACCTGCTAACCTCCAAGGTCCTAGGAGGAAACCTGTAACCTCCAAGAACCTGCTAACTCCAAAGTCCTAGGAGGGCCCTAACTAATCCTAGGAGGGCCCTGATAACCTCCAAGATCCTAGGAGGGACCTGCTAACCTCCAAAGGAGGAGGGCCCTGCTAACCTCCAAAGGTGCTAGGAGGGCCCTGCTAACCTCCAAAGTCCTAGGAGGAACCTGCTAACCTCCAAAGTCCTAGGAGGAACCTGCTAACCTCCAAGGTCCTAGGAGGGCCCTGCTAACCTCCAAGGTCCTAGGAGGGCCCTGATAACCTTCAAGGTCCTAGGAGGGACCTGCTAGCCTCCAAGTTCCTAGAAGGGCCCTGCTAACCTCATTGTCCTTAGTATTCACAGCTGTACCCTGAAAAACACATGCCTGGACCTTATGTACCACACCACAGGATGATGTGTGGAACTATAAGTCCAAGCTCTACTTACTAGACACAAGTGGCATGCATGCTAGGACTTGTAGTTCTTGATGCACCAGTACATCCCATAATTGGGTGTAATGATGAGTAAACAGTAATTTCACAGATCCCACAATAGGGAGATTTAATAAAAGTATACTTGGCTCTGTGGAACTATGTTCACTTCAAGCAACCTATCACAGCCAGGGGATTTTTAAATGTTACCTTTCTTTTTACCTAATTGGCGGTTTAACGTCAACACATCCCACCCCCAGCTGTTATCATATCATATTATTTGATAAATATTCATAAGGTGTGCGCAATAAGCCTGGGTTCACATATGTGCGGTATATCGCATGTGATTTGCACAGGAACCGCACTCCAGTGCAAATCGCATGCGATTTGTGTGCAGTGCGATTGGAGCCGTACATTTTGTATGGCTCTATTCACACCGCACACAAACCAAAAACGTGCAGGACCCTTTTTTTTGGTCCGCACTAGAATCGGATCGCATGGGTATTCACAACTATGCGGTCCAATTCTACACAGCGCACCGCGTTTTGCAGACCGCTTTTGGGGGTGTTGTTAACATACACACCCGCAGTGGTTCACATGAACGGGGTGCGATTCTGATGCGATATTTGCACTGAAAATGCTTCGAATTCCGCACCGCATCAGTGTGAACCAGGGCTGAAGCATACATCCTTGCAGACTTACAACACGCCATCCTCCCATTTATTGTGACCTGATGTCAATGTCCTCCATATCATAAAAACATCCAAAAAAAATTAAAACAAAAACAATCCACAAGTTAAAAATAAGGATTTTTATTATGTACACATACACAAAGTAACAACTTTTATAAAAAGTTTTCTTTTCTAAAAATAGGAAACAGCAGTTCCAAGACATTATTCTCTACTTTAGAGAGTGGGATCATTCTGGGGTCATCGCCACAGATTTAAGGCATCTATGTCCTTACAAAATATAAGATTTCCACATGAAAGCATAAAAAAACGCATACTGTTTACAAAAATATATATACAGCCCAAGAGTTATTTTCTTTCAGTAACAGGAAATTCAAGTTGATATAGTACTCATAGGGGTATAATGGCTTTCTTGGTCCATAGCATTTTGGGAATGTCATAAAAAAATATATATGTAGGGTGGTGAGGACCATGTAATAAAAGGTTGGGTATTATCAGATAATCGGATTGGAAATGGTTACAAAATTTAAAAAAAAAAAATGGAATTGAATCAAAAGTTCATAAAGGTCACTTGTGGAATGAATACCATCTGTTGGTCTTGAAAAGTTTTTGGTGGAGTGGGGGGGGGAAAGTCTTTTATAGGAATGGATCTTGATGCCGGATCTGAAAGGGTTAAATTCTTGCTTGTTGGATTCTGATGCTTCATGGAAAGAACTTTTTTTTTTTTTTTTTCCACACCTGCAGAAAGAGAAATATGCATGTATATAAATGTGAGTCAGAGCAAGGGAGGGGAGCAGACTGAGCGGCGCCAGAGAGGAAGCTAGCGCCGCCCCTGGGGCTTACAAGAGCCAGCCTCTGCTAATTACCACCAAAGCTTCCTACTCAATGCTCTCTGCTACGCCTAGTGACATCACAGAGCACTTCTACAACATCTTCTAATGGAACACTATGGGGGGCTATTTATTCAGGCGGTCAGGCCAGATTCACACATTTTTCTGCTTTGCATTATAAAAAAAAGTGTGAATCTTGGGTGAAAGTATAGAGATATCTATGCAAGTACACATTTGGACTGCCCATTGTCATTTCAAAGGCCTTTTAAACTCAAGACAGTCCAATGCTAATATTATATTGCTACTCTTGTGAGTATATTTCCTATATCAATAAATCTACGAATTGCTTACTAAGGTAATGCGCAAGGTTGGTGCGCTCTGTTTTTTGTTCTTTACTAATATTATATTCTACTATTTTAACTAATTATAATGATATCAAAAGGCAATCAGAAAAAAAAAGTCTCCTTACCATGAGAGGCATGATGGGTCAATGGCACACACTGGCATCCTCTGACGTTGACATTGCTGAGAAATCTGAATTCTGTTTTAAGAAAAATAATATGATCTTTAGTGTCATATACCACAGACATGCCAATCACATTGCATGAGTGATCCAAGCTACAACACACATGGCATTAGTACTACAATGGTATAGTTCATGACAGGCAATCACAGTGCCTTAGTAGTATAGATAGTAAAAGCAGAAGCTGCTGATGGTAGTTAGTGACATGTCATCAGGTTGCATTAGTGCTACAGGTTGTAGATTGGAATCCATAACATGGAATCAGTGCATTAGTTGAGTGTTAAGAGGCTGTCGATCATAGTAACAAGGCTTATCCCAAGCATGCATTAGATCACACAGGATGGGTGGTATAGGAGATCACTGTCAATAAGGCAGCATCATGGTATTAAATCCAGACAAGCTGAGATCTTACCTGTAGTGCGAGGATGCTGCTGCTGTGCTCCTGCTCTTCCCCCAATACGATCTGTAAGTCGAAGATGTAATCAATGACATGTTGGAGGATCTCTACTTGACTTAGTTTGCTCCCTTGAGGGATGCCAGGCACCAGCTCCTTCAGCTTGGAATAGCAGTCATTCATGTCATACAGGAGCCCCATGGGTTCTTCTACACTTCCCTTGTGGCTACTACTCCTGGCAATGCTCAGGCTCTGTTCAGACAAGCAGCACACAGCCTGGTAGCAGCTGGGCATTGATCTCACTGGGCTGATGGCCTTCATGTTGCTGTAGATCTGCTGGAAAATCCCTTTAATCAAAGATCTGCTCCGGTAGTAGAAGATCCAAAGTTTGCTGCACTCCGTACAAGTGATCACAAGTTGATGTGTGAGCTTGTCAGCGTGAGCGAGCCATGCTCTTATATTGTCTGGCTCCCCCCTCCCTCTTGTATGTAAATCAACCCCTTCTCTCCACCCCACCGCTCCATAATATTGAGATAACAGCTGGCTGAACACTTTTAAACAGCTTATCCTGATTCCTAGGGACTGGAGACAGTGTCATTAATGTCACAGAGAGAGAGAGGAGGAGGAGGAGTGGGGATGGGGGGGGGGGGCGATCCTTTACTAAACTTTCTGTTACATTTGCAATCATTGAAACCACAGGGGACACGATCATAACAACAGACAGCATGAAAAAAACACATTTTAATGACTTATTTTTTTTAAAATTGTGCCAATGCTAAAATAAACAGTAGACCTAAAAAGTAAAAACAAAAGTTAAAAAGAAAACTAAAGTTTATAAATACAGGCTAAAGAATGAAAACTGAAGTTTATAAATACAGGCTAAAGAATGAAAACTAAAGTTTATAAATACAGACTAAAGAGTGAAAAGCAAAAGTAAATATAGCAGAAAGAGGGAGGTTATAAATATAGAATAAAGAGTGTGCATTAAAAGTTGTAAACATAGCATCAAGTGTGTAAGCAAAATGTTATAATTACAGCATAAAGAGTGTATATTAAAAGTTAGAAATACAGCCAAAAAAGTGAAAGCTAAAGTGTATAAACAAAACAAAAACAGAGAAAACTAAAGCATATTAATACAGCATAAAGAGATGAAACTAAAGTATATTAATACATCATAAAGAGAGGAAACTAAAGTATATTAATACATAAACAGAGAAAATTAACGTATATTAATACAGAATAAAAAGAGAACATTAAAGTATATACATACAGCATAAAGAGAGAAATTTAACATATGTTAATACAAAATAAAGAGAGAACATTAAAGTATATACATACAGCATAAAGAGAGAAAATTGACGTATGTTAATACAGAATAGAGACTATAAAAGTACATACATACAACATAAAGAGAGAAAATTAATCTATATTAATAGAAATGAAGAACTATATTAATAAAGAGAAAAATAAATATTAATAGAGAATAAAGAGAGAACATTAAAGTATATACATACAGCATAAAGGGTGAAAACTCAAGTATACACAGTACATACAGCATAAAGAGAGAAAATTAAAGTATATAAATAAAGCACAAAGACAAGAAACTAAAGTATACAATACAGTATAAAGAGCAAAAACTAAAGTATATAAAAAAACATAAAGAGAAGAAACTTAAGTATATACACACACAGTATAAAGAAAGAAAACTAAAGTATAAAAACTCCAGCATACAGAATGAAAACTAAAGCATATAAATCTAACCAAGATGAATAAATGCAGCTAAACTCGACTATTGCTCTAAACAGATGTGATTTGTGCTGTATTTCTGTTCATGAATCATTATGCTGCTATTTTGATCTTTATTTCTTTTCTGTTGCTAATCTGTTTCTTTAGTGTAAAGTCCATTTTCTTTCCTTCCCCCCTTCCCCCCCTCCCTGCTGCCGACCTCCAGACTTTCTGGCGTCAGGAATATTATCCTGTGACCGAGGAGGGAAGAGGCTGGGAACTGAATGAGAAAACAGACTATGCTGGCTGGGGGGTAGCCCAGTGTGCTGCTATGTATTTACAAGTGCCAGCCTGAGGAATTAGGGCGAGCAGAATCCTTCCAATCAATGGGATCGCACAGCAATTGGAGGATCATCACAAAATCATTACAATCTAACTAATGTTTAGCTTGCTAATAATAAGTCTGTGACACCTTAAAGAGGACCAGTTATGAGTGGGTTTATTTATTACTTTTACTATAGGAATTTTTATAGCACTGTCAATTTATGCAGCACTTTACATTTTTTTACATTCACATCAATCTCTGCCCTCAAGGAGCTTACAATCTAAGGTCCCCATATCACACACACACATATTAGGGCCAATTTAGATGGGAGCCAATGAGCCTTCCAGCATTTTTTTTTAGTATGGGAAGAATCTCCCACAAACAAAGGGAGAAAGTACAAACTCCATGCAGATAGAGCCCTGGCTGGGATTTGAACAGGGGATCCTCGTGATAATGTCAGATAGCTGATTCTACCACTGATGATCCTGCCACTTAGACCCCATTCACACTTGAGAGTATCAGGAACAGGCTTGCTTTTTTTTTTTGCACATTTTTACCTGTTAATGTGTTTCACACCTAGAGCAGCTCACTTACTTGACAAATGCCTCAAAGTAGCTCCAGGACCTTTTCGGTCTTGGAGCTCCGGCTATTTTTCGGTGCATGATTTAGCACGCTTGTAGCACGTTTTGTTGTGCGGCAAAACACGTGTCTGCTACCTGTGCTTGGGGTGCCATTAACAATGAATGGCAGTGCAAGCACAACCCACAGTTGCAGCATGTTTGCAGCACGTTTCCAAAACGTATGGCAAGATGCACAATTTTGTGTGTTCTGAGCGCGTTTGGAAATGCGCAGGTGTGAATGCAGCCTTGCGGTTTGTGGAAATTGCCAGTGGCAGGATAGATAAGAGGCTCTGGTTTGTCCCAAGGGGACAGCTCCCTGTGTAGCTAAGCAGCCAGCTGTTACTCCCATCCCTAGCGATTGAGATCCAGGCCAGCGATAAAATGACATCCTGCTATGTATGGCTACAGAGGGAGTGATTGCCTAGGGGCAGACAGGTAGTGATCCTGGAGATTTGTCACTAAAGGCAGAATTACCTGACTGATCTCAGCCCTACTACAGTATTCTGTGATATTGCTGTGTACATTCAGGAGAGATGAGACAGCAGGCAAAATTACAGATAAGCTGTAACTTTCAGGGCCTAGAGTATGGAAAGGTAAAGTGTAACTAAAACAAATTGTGAACAGGCAGGGTTTTTAATGCAGAAGAGACATTATACAGGGTAGAATTGATCAAAACTGGAGAAGAAAGAATCAGGAGAAGTTGTGCATGGCAGCCAATCAGCCTCTATCTTCATCTTGTTCAGTTAAGCTTTAAAAATGAAAGCTAGAGTCTGATTGACTGCCATGCACAACTTCCAAGGTTCTGCCTGCACCTGTTTTGATCAATTCCCCTCTATGATTCTTCTGCATTAAAGTATTTTTATCTGCCTGTCTGCACTGTAGGATCTGCTCAGTGTACAATTTCGGCATCTGTTAAGATGAACAGCGCATGCGTGGAAGTGATGTCATCTATTGTAAAGCACTGAGCAAACTGTTGGCGCTATATAAATCCTGTATAATAATCTCAGGCCCAGCCAATCAAAATGGCCAAAGAACCTGGAAGAAGACCAGCCAGAGATGTAAATGCCAGCGGTCGGCGAGGGAACTCTAGGACACTGCATCACTGGAGTGAAGATAAGTATATTTAAAGTGGAGCTGCACCCAAAAGGGGACGTTCCACTTTAAGGCCCCATTAAGAATTGGCACCTTTAGGGAGTGGGTACCCGATTTTGTCAGGCAGATTTTGACATCGCCTAGGCGATCATAAGTAGAGGTTGTCCTCCCTCCCCATAGTCTTTTGGGACACATGACAGGTCCCCCAGAAGACTACAGGACAATTCACAAAGCGCAGTGCTACTCGCACATAAGCAGTGGGCACCCGGCTGTGAAGCTGCAAGCTGTCACAATTGATCAAATGTAAGGGGGACTCTGATGGGGACCTTGATGTAAGGGGGTACTCTGATGGGGAAAACTGATCATATGTAAGGGGGACTCTGATGGGGACCCTGATGTAAGGGGGTACTCTGATGGGGAAAACTGATCATATGTAAGGAAAACTCTGATTTGGAAAATTGATCATATGTAAGGGGTACTCTGATGGGGATCCTGATGTAAGGGGGTACTCTGATGGGGAAAACTGATCATATGTAAGGGGGACTCTGATATGGAAAATTGATCATATGTAAGGGGGGCTCTGATGGGGACCCTGATAAGGGGGTACTCTGATGGGGAAAACTGATGATATGTAATGGGAACTCTGATGGGGACCCTGATGTAAGGGGGTACTCTGATGGGGAAAACTGATCATGTGTAAGAGGGGCTCTGATGAGGACCCTGATGTAAGGGAGCACTCTGATGAGAACATCTAATGTAAGGAGGCCTTTGTCAGGGACCCTGATGTAAGGGGGCACTTTGTTGGGGACACCTGATGTAAGGGGGCACTCTAATTGGGACCTTGATGTAAGGCGGCACTCTGATGGGGACACTTATGTAAGTTGATGGGAACCCTATATAAAGGGGGGGTCTGTTGAGGACTCCTGATGTTAGGGGAACTCTGATAGGGACATCTGATATAGGGGGGCACAAGTTCTGTTTAGTCATCCTATTCTAGTGATAGCCTAATACATACTAGTGTTTCCCAGGTCATGACACTTTGACAGGCTGTCAGTGACTCACAGTGTTTACATTCTTCCCCCCTGACTTTTATTACTGCACCCCCAGATCAGATAGGCTAGATCTGGCCCTGAGGGAAGTTATGTCTGTTGATGTTTTGCTGATTAGAGTCACACGTTATGTAGATACTACAATCAGAGTATGGCCACCATGAGACTATTGGACGTTTTATTATTATACAGGATTTATATAGCACCAATAGTTTGCGCAGCTTTACAATATAAAGGCAGACATTACAGGTACAATACAGCTTAGTACAAGAGGAATCACAGGGCTCTGCTCCTTAGAGCTTACAATCTAAGAGCTGTGACTGGTCCTCTGTAATGGCTCCATGCTGACGAGGCCGGAGAATACATTGACTTTATCTATCCCCACAGATCAAACAGAGCTTTTTCTTTCAGTTGACCCCCGTGTGTTTACACACTGCTCCATTCTGTGCTGAGTGACACGGGCACACAATGTACATTGCAGAGCAGTGTGTGTGTACACAGGTTTGGATGTGCACACTGCACTCCCCCCCTTCTCTTCCTCCTGCAGACAGCCTGGCGCCAGTCCGTGACGTCACGTCCCGCTCCCCCTCCCTCGCATGGGGACGCGTCTCCACTGGCAACCACTCTACCGCGAGCGGTGGGCGGGGCTCCTGTCAAACAGCTGCAGCTGTGGAAGCCTCGTTGAGCCAG